CAAACTAAATGGTAATTTAACTTAATGGTAATTAAGTGCGAATAAGTAATTAAGTAATGGCATTACTTAGTGGTAATTATAAATGGTAATTACACGTAAATGATACGTCAAGGGGTTGAATGCTCGGAAGTTATCGGCGATTTGATGATCGCGAGCAAATTGATAACTGGAACCTTCGAAGCTTGCGATTCGGGAATGGTAGATCGCAATTTTGGTATTTTTGTAGAAGTTCTGTGAGACGAGACACTGGAATTATTTCCAGTGAATATTCTGGTTGTCAACCCTGAGACTTGGATCTGTGAGACGGTCAAGTATACAGAAAAATATTAGTTTCTAATATTCGGGTTCAGTATTAGAAGTTGCAGTGACAGAGATTGTCGAGAAAACCACCGCAATTAATTAGTATTGTTGGAAATAAAAATTGAATGGGGTGACGGGCGACGATAAGATTTGCATGGCAAACGCCAACAAGTAAACCCAGCCACAACGATTTTCCTGAATTAAACATCGTATGCCCGAGGTAGCAGCAACAGGGACGACGTCTAAGGAATCAGCTTTGACGTCACGCTTTTCTCGCGCCGAATGGATGAGAAAATACGCTTCCTTTTAGCACAGACAATGTAGCTTTGATACGACCTTTGACATTACACGGCTATAGTATCGATCTTTTATTTATTAAGGAAAATAGTTCATCAAATTTTAAACGACAAACATATAACGTTGTAACGATCGATTCCATTTATTCCCTGCATAATTAATTAATTTCCCCCAACGATTAATTCGAAATAACGTACGACCGCGAGCCGATCGAAACGTGCCAACGGATAAAATTTTTAAAAAATCTAAAAACGTACCTTACGTTCTAACCTATTATCCATCATGCTTCGATTTATCATCGATAATCGTCAGCTCGGAGTCACCAACGCTGGTGACTTAACCTACAAAACTAACGTTCCTATCCTCAAGCACCGAGAGGTTAGGTCGAACGATCAAACGGTTCGAAACGTTGGAAAACAGTCGATCCCGCTACGAATCGAAACAGCGATATCTCGTATAATCCGTGCACGGAGTTTCACGCCGCTAAAGAATAGTCACCGCGTACGACGGTGTGCACGATAGTCCGGTGATCGATACCATCGCACGGCTCTTAAGCGGATCGTGCACGTCGTATTGACCGGCAATTTTCGCGCGGAGGAAGGTCATCACGAGACACAAGAATACAAGCATACGGGCATACGGAGGAACACGATATAACCTACTGTCACGAGCGCTCTGTGAAATACGACCTTCGCGGCGGCACACACGAAGCACGGCCAGAAAGCTTATTTTCACGTGCCAGCCGATCTCTCGAGAGTACCGAGCGAACGAAC